TCTCTTAGTCTATGCTCTACGGTTGTCTAGTAGAGATTGTAAAGAAGGGTAAAATAAAATAATAAAATATAATATCTTTTCTGTACTATATTTTTTGTAGATATTAAAATATATATTTCTCTTTGTTATTTTTATTATTCTAACATTAATTTATTAATACAGCACTTATTAATAATTACATAAAAAAAAAATTACTTCTGCATTTTTGTACAGTCTGTTGGATTTTTAAAATACGAAGTACGTTTTTGAATAAAAGGTTCGGTCAATAAAATATAAGTAAAATTACAATATTTATTATAACGCCATCTATTGTTTAAAAGATACACTTGAGAAATATTTATTTTAGTGACATCTTTGATTAAACGCATGAACTACTACAATTACTGATTATCATTTATCTTGCCGACTAAACGATAGAGGTCGCTAATCTAAAATTATTTAAGTTATGCATGTCATAGATGGCAGTACTATCCTCAATTGAGCATTATAATTTTATATTAAAAATATGTCTGGAATATCAATGTTATAATTGAAATAATGCATGCTCAAAATGAAATATATAATAATTTCTCAAAACGTAAAATTATGCTAAAAAATTATTCCTTTTGTGATTTTCTATATTAAACAACAATTTATTACAATATATTGTTGAATAAATTGGTTGCTTATTAACAATATCTATTACGGTTAAAAAGTGAAATTTAACACGGTGGGTGGGTTTTGACCCACTACACCTGGCGAATCGCGTTTTTATTCATCGTTAACCACTTATTAAATATGGCAATTGTTAGACCTTAAACAGTTACAAATATTCAAGTAACACTGTTACTTAAAGTCTTTGTACACATAAGTTTAAAAGCTGCCAACACAGATCTATTGGTTTTAACTTTCTCTCAATAAGCTAAATATAATATAAACTTCCTTGCACCTTTTGCACGGAATAGAGCAAAAATTTTCTTACTTCTTTGGCCCAGAATCCTAATTTCACAGATTTAATTATTAAATTTACTATCGAAATCTCGAATCTGCAATGTTAAATAATGGTGTGTAATGGAACTAAACAACTCTTCAAAATAACAATCCCTAAACGTAGTAAAACTTAATCGTGTGCATTTAAACTATGAATTACAAAGCGTTTCGACAGGCATCTCGTTCATTTGCATAAAACAAATCTTCAGCTCTCCTCTCGAGCAGAAAACTTACAATTAATATTAAAACATGCGTAATAAAATAAAGGCACGCAGTCGGAAAATATCCACAGTGAACACTGCTTTTGACACGGCTATTATTTTACACTGGCTCGTGTTAAATTGTTTAGTAAATCTCGAGTCTATAACATATAGAGCTATATTTAGTACTTGATTACTATTGGTACCTATAGAAATTCTAAGTAAAACCAACGGAAGGCGTAAAAATATTAGCCGTAAAATGTCTTTCTTCGAATACGCTGCGAAAAGTATTAATGATAGTACAAAAAAATGCTCGACAATATTATAGAATATATCAATGTCTACAAAAAACATCGCGAAACCAGGTCTAACTATTGTAATTACGTCGCTATAACTACTTTTTTATATTTAACAAATTGATAGAAATGCCGTTCAAAATCAAACCGTGTTATCTGTCTTAATATCTGATGATTACTTTTTTAATTATTGAAATCGGACATTCCATTCAAAACATACCGGGGTCACAGGGTCGCTAGTTTTATATAAAGTGTACTTCTCTTGTATAAACAATACTTAAGTTTATTGGTGTAAATAAAAAGGAATTAAATATAAAAAAGTAGCTATTTAATAAAACAATTTTAAAGAAACTGTGATTTGTATTTGCTAATTATGTTGTACTGGTAAACTTTTTCCAACCAACTTTAACTAATACATTTCGCGTTTTATACCGTTGAAGTGTATTACACATTATTTACAAGCTCAACCTAATTGCACTTAGTTAATAGACTGTTAGTTATTTTTTTTGAGTTTTCTTTAAACACGAAGGTGTCCTAATCCGAGTCGTTCAGTATCAAAACAAATGAACTGCGATGAGAATCGTTGAAAAGGTGCGATGAATCCATTCCTTAACTTCATCCTTTCTAAGCAATCAAGCCGAGTGCAGCCACATGCGATCAACGGATATGTAAATTGTACATTTACAACGATGCCCGAAGGAGTGAGATTTCCAAAGTAATTGACAGAACGATACAGCTCGCCGCGTGCTGCAATCTCATTTATATGAAGAAACACAACTATTCTTATTTAAATAAAACACTATAACGGTTTAAAACGCGATATATAAGTTAAACTTATTTGAAAATGATTGTTTACTTCGGCCCGACGTTTCGGATGCTTTGCAGCAGTCGTGGTCACGGGGAGGATACGTCGAGCCGAAGTTAAAAATAATTTTCAAATAAGTTTAACTACTGTATTACGTTTTAAACACTTTATTTTACAATAATAAAAAATAGAAAAGTCTTTAAAAAACCTGTTTTCTTTACTTGCCACGATTTAGAAGAAGTAAGATTTCTCATGTTGGATATGTGGTAGACACAGTTGTGTGTCTGTTTCACTAATCGTCATTTATTATTTAAATATAATATAAATGGGGGATATTACGTGCTATAGCTATAACAGTTAACTAAATTACATTCTTTAATAATGACACAAATGTGAGTAGGGGCGAATTTACACCCCTTTTTACTACATTATAATGATGACTTGGCAATTTTCACCCGACAGTAACTCTGCTGTTTATGTGGAAGCAAAAATTAGCATAAGTATACAATTTTAAATAAACTGAAGAAATATCATATTTTTATTAAAATTAACGTTAAAAGATGGCGCTAGTGTAGCATATTTGACTTAGAACTTAGGTGTGCTCGATATCTAGTATTTATTACATATATATACAGACTCGGACAAAGTCGTTGGCACACCTAGTTGTGTATTACGCGTTTTACCCTTAAGTAGTGTGTATGTCTTATATACATGTATACATGCTTGCTTTAACTACAGACAATTGCAAAGGAACTAACTTTAAAGTATTATTTACTATACGACTCCGCAACTTTTGAAGTAAATTTTATTGTGATTTAAACGGAAAAGCTTACAGCTTTCTTTCGTGACTTTGCTGTTGAACTGTGGTTTAAGATTTTGTCGGAAACAACTATGTTGTATCAAATCGTAGCTAGGACAAATAGACAATGCTGAAATTATCAAAAAAAAAAAATTACAGCTACTTTTACAAATTTATCATAAAGTTACTTCAAGGAGACACGAAAAGTTAAAATTGAATTATCAAATTTATAGTTTGAGATGAAATTTTATTTCGCTTTTTGTGTATGTATTAAAATTAATTATAATTTACGACAATACCCAATAATATAATTAGCTTTTGCGCGGCAAAATATGGACCGGCACTACAACAATCGCTAAGTAGAATAAATAAAACCAAATATTAACGGTATCCGCACTTTTGATACTACGACTCCGCAACTTTTGAAGTAAATTTTATTGTGATTTAAACGGAAAAGCTTACAGCTTTCTTTCGTGACTTTGCTGTTGAACTGTGGTTTAAGATTTTGTCGGAAACAACTATGTTGTATCAAATCGTAGCTAGGACAAATAGACAATGCTGAAATTATCAAAAAAAAAAAATTACAGCTACTTTTACAAATTTATCATAAAGTTACTTCAAGGAGACACGAAAAGTTAAAATTGAATTATCAAATTTATAGTTTGAGATGAAATTTTATTTCGCTTTTTGTGTATGTATTAAAATTAATTATAATTTACGACAATACCCAATAATATAATTAGCTTTTGCGCGGCAAAATATGGACCGGCACTACAACAATCGCTAAGTAGAATAAATAAAACCAAATATTAACGGTATCATAAAATTTTGATGGCAGCTATAATTTTTTTTTAATCAGAGCAACGTTTGACCCAAGGGCCATGAGGCACGCCATCTCTAGAGTGAGAGATCCTTAAAATATTACATCATCTTTTTTGAAAGCATTTAGATTTTATTTTGAAATACAAAACCTATTATATATTATATATTTACCCAATATGTTTTTATATATGAATATGTCGTAATTTTAAATATATTACTTTCCTATAAAATTCATATAATGTTGAAGTATGAAGGCGTTCGTTCTTTATGCGTTTGTTTTATTATTGTGCGCAATTGTTTCAAATGTTTTCAGTGCAATTGAAGTTTGTGAGTTCTTGTTGTTTTCGTGAAACCAGTTTCCCATTTGGGACAGAGGGCTGGCCCATGACTGTGCTTTACAGATCGGTGCTTCACAAAGTTCTTGATCTTAATAAAAATTTAACGGTTAAAAACGTTTAAATAAAACACTTTAACGGTTTAAAACGCGATATATTAGTTAAACTTATTTGAAAATGATTTTCAACTTCGGCCCGACGTTTCGGATGCTTTGCAGCAGCCGTGGTAACGGGGAGACTTCGTTGAAGTGTTTTATTTAAATGAGTACTACTCGCGTATACTACAGACAGTATTCTGTATGTTCATTGGTTGTGTCCTGTCTGACCGAAACTATTAAATATTATTTTTACTCCGAGAATTTTAAACATTTTGCATTCATTTATTGATGTCACTATACCATTACCATTTAGACACGGTTTACAACAATTTTCGTTAATTTGTTGATTCTTTTAGCAAATCGTGTGGAAGAGCTGAAGTTTTGGTAAGTAATGTTAGCAAAAAAAAAACAATTATTTTCTAAATTTCAATATCTTGATAAAAATTTAACTTAAAGTACACATGCCTATCTGCTACTGCAACTAATAATTGTAAACGGACATTTTCTTTGAGCAATCGAGGAGCTAACATCTGAGCCGTCCGCTCGTGAAGGCGAAATGTCGAGAACACTCACGTCGGCCGAACAGCCCGAAAAACTATGATATGCTGAACGATGGCCATGGAAGCCTTACACGATGTATTTGTTACTTGACTGCTTATGTGTTTGCTTGTTTTAGGAATGACCCCAGAATAAAATCGAGAAAGCCGACGGAACATAACAGGCGATCTAAAGACGGTTATACTAAACAGAGACGGCCTGTGAGGCATAATCATGAAGAAATTAAAAGGAAATTGTATGTTTATAATTTCACTATTATGGGTACTCTATATTATAAAACACCTTAATGCTTCTTAAGCCTTGCTTGTGCAAACAACCTTGTCCTTTAAGTTAAATATGTAAAGAGTTATTCTACCATAAACAAAAGTTAACTTATATACACTAGGTTTATGAATAGTAACATTGAAATCACTAAGTACTCTATATATTTTAATCATGAATGCCTTAAAACTAAGACATATATAATTTAAATAAAACAGTTTTAACGGTTTAAAACGCAAAATGTATCAGGTAATTTATTTACAATTTATTTTAACTACGGCGTGACGTTTCGAATGCTTTGCAGCAGCCGTAGTCCCCATGACCGTGAAGTCAAGTAATTTTGCGCATTTCGCATTTTAAACCGTCAAAAGTGTTTTATTTAAATGAAGTAAATCTTAGGTTGAAGGCATTCATAGTTAAATATTTAGGTTATTGTTATAGATGTAATAATTATTTTTAGGACTGCAAAAAATTCATCCCTAATTCCCGCGGCTGTGTTTAAAGCACGTTCTGGTTCGGCCGATTTAAATGTTTCTTGGCCAAAAGTGGCACCACGCTTTAGAGCGAAGAAATCGTAAGTAGTTTTACGGATTTCCCTAACTAGTAATTTAGTAGATTAACATGAAATATATTTCCTAGTGTGAAGAAACTAATATTTAGACTTTGAAAATCATTTCACGTGCTCGTCGGTCGCGGGTTCGATCCCCACCTGGTCTAAAATGTTTTTAATCAATTTATAATTTTTCTGAAAATCGTCTGGAAATCGTCTGGATGGTAGGAATATCGGAATTCCGACCACCAACGGTGAGCCCCTGCTTCTCTGCCCCTTTCTAAAATTAAAAAAATGTTTACAGTTATATTTTCTTAGACAGACTTCAATATTTTTGTCTTAATATTTTACCGCCCATATCGTGTTTAAAACATTGCAACAATCAAATAGGTAAAATTAAATTAAAACACGAACGATTATACTCGATTGTCGACTACGACGTTTCGGAAGTTTTACAATCGTCGGTCACCCCGTGAAACGACGGGTCTTAGACTTAGTAAATGTATTTACTTATATGCACAAAATTGAATTAATTTACAATTACAATTCCAAACGTTATAACTGAAAAATCTATTTAAATTGAAAACCCTGCAGCTGTAACCAATTGGCATAGCTCATTTGTTCAGACTGAGATCAGCAGCATAGGACGCTGTGGATGCCAGTTTAAGTCCCGGTGTGTCAAAATTTCTTTCAATCTTAATTTTAATTTACATAATGCCATCCTGTGCGTAAAATGTTTAAAGTGTTCAGATATAGATGGCGTTTTATTATAAAGGCTCATTGATTTAAAAATCTGATGTTTTGTATACATTTCTAGATCAGCTCGCATGACACAAATGATGTTACAAGAAGCTGAAGAGACGAGGTAAACAACGGCTGTTATTTATATTTCGTTATAATTTGGTTTTCTGATATTCAAATAAAGTTTATTTATATAACATTTTATAGCCCTCGTTATGTGCCACTAAATGAAGATGATCTGACAGAAGAATTAAGCCCTTATGCTGTGAGTATTTAAAAGCACTTTTAAGACGATGACCAAGACAGTAGAAACGAAAAACACAAGTATATAAATAACTTTACTTATTTATGTATTGTAATTAGAATCCAGACAAGCGTAACGTGTTACGTAACGATTCGGTTTGCCTCTCCAAAGGTATCACTTTGTTTAATATATGAAACCTATTGCCTAAAAGAATCCTTTTTACTTATTTATAGTAGCAGACAAATTGAAGCGAAATTAAGGGTTCGTTTTAAGAATCGTGTTATAGGCGTCATCAATGTTTTATGTGCTATATAAATAGGTATAAAAAACAAATGAAGCACGCAAGAGAAAATTATATTGCTTAAAGAATAATTGAATAATTCCCTTCATTTGAGCCTAAAAAACTTTACCGAAGAGATTGCCCTCTATCATAACTTAAAAAAAACTCTTTTAACGGTGTAAAACGCGAAATATAACACTATACTTGTGTACAATATGTTTTAACTATGGCACGATGACTCGGATGCTTTGCAACAGCCGTGGTCAACAGATATCTAAAATTTTATGACACCACGGGTGACTAACTAAATTGGTTGAACAGCACGGAACGCTGTGCATGTAGGTTCAAGTCCCACCCGTGTTGTAACTTCTTCTTTACAAACTATTTGAACTACAGCCTTACGTTTCACGTGCTTTGCAGCAGCCGTGATCACGGGGAGACGTATATATTTCGCGTTTTAACCCGTTAAAAATGTTTCATTACATGGAAACTACTCCCGTAAACTACAGACAGTATTTAGCGTTAACATTGTTTTTCGTTATCCTCTTTCAGATTAAGGAGCAGCTAACTCGCATCTCGTCCAAGTTTCCCAATACAAATATAAGCGTCGAGGTCATAGGCCGCACAGTGGAGTATAACGACATAGTCATGCTGAGAATCAGCGAATTATCCGACTTACAACGACATTTCCGAGCGGAGGACGACAAATATGCTGACGAATGGCCCCAAAAGAAAATAGTCCTTATTGTCCATGGCCTAAGTGTCATGGGTCTATCGAGTTTACAATGCTTATCGGCTGAGAAGGATTTTGCGAAACTATTATCGTTCTATTTGGCGCATTTAGATAACTTCGACATATTCCTCATTCCGTTGGCCAACCCTGACGGCTTTGGAAGGTCACAATATGTAGGTGTTGTCTTTTTCCATTTATTACTTTATCTACTAGCTGAGCCAGCGACTTCATCCGCGTATGTTAGTATTTTCAAAAATTCTCTCCTTTCTCATATTTATAAATTTTTGCTCTCACTCCTGTTCTCCACGTTGCGTCGTTCGTGCTACTTAATTTTAAAAGATAGTTAATACTGTTGCGGCCATTTTTTTTTATATTTAACTTAAAGATTAATATTTTTTATACATATTGGGTAACCTTTAACCATGAATTTTGCCTGTTTTTCCAAACTTCCCACAGTTTCTTCTCCTATTGTTTGCAGCGTAATGTTATTTAGTCTAAAAAAATCCTCATTAAATCTTCAAACCAACATGAAAAGATTTTCTTAATTCAAACCAGTAGACTCAAACAAACAAACTCCTTAACTTATAAATTATAAATCCTTATCAAATCTTATATTATAGTGGGGTTTGCTGTTGTTGTTATTTAATCAGACTTTCGATATTAATATAATTTGTTTTTTGCAATATTAAAAACGTATATACTTATTTTAATTTAGATAAAACACTTTAACGGTTTAAAACGCGAACTAATATATCGCGTTTTATACTGTAGACAGTACTTATTTTAATGATCATTAAAGGACAGGTTTTGGAACAAAAATATGTCCCCACAAAATGCCTGTCCCGGCGTCAACGTGGATCGTAATTTCGACGTAGCCTGGAACGGCTTACACGTAATCTCGTCTTGCAGCCAGCAATACCCTGGCACCACGCCCTTCTCCGAAACAGAATCCAGAGCTATCAGAGATGTCTTTCATAAGTACAGCCACAAAATTGTGGCTTATTTTCACGTGCATGCCGGTTCATATGATGATTCTGTTTATAAAGTAAGTGATTATATGTTTTCGCTGTAACGTCTTAAAAGAATAAACTTTTTACTAAAAACGATTTGACACAGCATATTGTTTAAATAAAACACTTTAACGGTTTAAAACGCGATATATTAGTTAAACTTATCCCTTTGACCACCGCTGCTGCAAAGTATCCGAAACGTCGGGCCGAAGTTAAAAATCATTTTCAAATAAGTTTAACTAATATATCGCGTTTTAAACCGTTAAAGTGTTTTATTTAAATGTGTACTACTCGCGTAAACTATAGACAGTACAGCATATTGTTTTTCGAGCTGTTCGGCCGTCGTGAGCGAGAAGTGGTTCTCGACGTTTCGCCATCATGATCGGACAGCATCATCAGGAGATGATGTTAACAACATGTTTCCAAAACAATGATATGCTGAACGATAGCCGTGAAAGCTTTACACAATGTATTGAATTTGACGCACTTTCTGGTGTGTCAAGATTTAATCTATTCATAAATAAGCATCAGCATGAACTCTTCTACCACCTTTATTTCACATAAACCACATTCTCCATGTGTTAGAACTGGTTTTACAAATATAATAGAAAGAAGTCATTTTGTATTTCAAGGGAGAAGCAGTGCTATACCCCAAAGGCTTTTCCGAAGTCCAATCTGATGATGATAAATATATAGATCTTCGAGGAGAAATAGATGAAGCGATGCGCAATGCCAGCTTCCAGACGATCTCGGTGGCCGTAGTGAGTTTGTATAATTGGTACGGAAAGGTTTTTGGAACAAGTGTGGACTATGCTGCTACGGTAAGATGATCTAAAATAAAAAGCTTAGCATATAATAAACATTATAAAAGGATTTCCACGTAAGCAGTTTATCAGACTTCGGTGTCTTTCTAAGCAGAAATTATTACGACTATTCCGATTCGGTCCTGGAGCTTTAAGTCCCTCATGAAATGTGTTTAATGAAATCTATCTTAACTATATAGAAAAAATCAGTGCAGGACAATATTGGCTAAAAATAAACATTAATGAAATGGTCACAAATGTGTGTCTGCCTAATTCCCCTCTCACAACTTCGGGATTAGTCTGCTTCTGCATATATAAACGCAAGGTGATAGTCTTAGTCACTATGTTTTAGATGAAATAGACATATTGAATGAAATCTGGTGTTAAATAATGTTTACATCTGACCACAAGGATATGAAAGCTGGTGGTTTTGGTTTATTCACTTTCCTTGTGTATATCTAGACACATATTCAATATTCGATATGTACACAAGTATACACAGGCACATACAATATTTTCACAGGTACAGGTGTACATGTGAAAATATTGTATGACTAAGCTATGTTAATTATTATTGCCTCATAAATTTATCGCTTAGCAAAACGCAAATAAATGTACTGCTGTTTTTCTGTAAAACAAAAAGAAATCGTAAAAATTACATAGTACGTATCAAACAGTTTTATTTTCAATCTATCTATACTAATATATAAAGCTGAAGAGTTTGTTTGTTTGTTTGAACGCGTCGATTTCAGGGACTATTGGTTCGACACCATGTCTGTATTTAACACAGTAGAACTGGTATTTATAATATTGTTTTTTAGATCTATGGCATACCATACTCTATGGAGTTAGTGATGCAGCTTTACGAGGACTATTACTTCGATACGGATGAGAAGTTCTCAGAAGCAGCTCTCGACGAAATCTGGAGTCGAGTAATCGATGTCATATTTAAAAACATATGGAAGAACACGCAATCCACAGACCCATAAATAATGTAAACATACGTATATGTAGTTTTATTTAAAAATGCTGCGCCCGCGACTACGTCCGCGTGGAATAGTTTAATATTCTTTAAAACACTTTAACGGTTTGAAACGCGATATATTAGTTAAACTTATTTGAAAATGATTTTTAACTTCGGCCCGACGTTTCGACGTTCCTTTATAAATTAAGATTTTTAATTTTAAAATTCCTTGTCAATACACCTGTTAACCTGATTAACATTGTCAATCACACGTATGTACTCTGCCCAACTACTTAAATTACCCCGGGCCTCGAAGCCAAGACCTTTAGTTCTTAATTCAATGACCTCCTTTAATGGAATGTTTTAAAATGTTATCTAATCGTTTAATAATTTAAGTATTAAAACAAGAAATAGCATAATAAGAGAAATACGGTACGCTAACAGGGCAAACCATTTCTTCTTAACGCAAAGAGGTTTAAAGTTAATTAAAATAAAATTGGTTCCAATATTATTAGTTCAATCAGTAAGGCTCGTATGAAGCCAATAAAATGAGAATTGGATGTAGAACTTAAATGAAGAGCAATTGATGTTCATAAAACGATGACTCACTTCGCAGTAGGACTTTTATTAGAAAAGCTTGTTAAAATAGATATTTGAAAACTTTAATATTTTTCACATGTTATTGCACATGAAGGCACTATAGAATTTAAAAATCGAAAATAAATTGAAAAAAAAATCGACTTGAACCGGCTGCTGCTCTGACGAAGCATTTTTTCAATTTATAAAATAGATATATTACAAGTTCTGAAAACCTGAAAGAACTATCGGAAGTATGATGAGAACAAAATTCATTGGATAGCTTATTTATATATTTAGAGGTTCGACCGGGTAAAAGTGGCTCTTAAAAACATACTTTCTAACTTTTCCGCGATTAAAACCGTTTAAATGGCTTATTATATATTGGATATAATTTAAAATAGTTTATGCTTTTCATGTATGTGGAGTGAGCAGCAATTTAAAAAAAAAACGCTTTAACGGTTGCTAAGCGGTAAGCATACGTGGTCTTCCCGTGACCACGACTGCTGCAAAGCATCCGAAACGTCGGGTTGTAGTTAAAAATGATTTTTTTTTTATTACCTTTCATTTTTAAGAGATTATTTATAAGATTATTTGCGTTTTAAGCCCTTGAAGTGTATTATTCAAACAATAAAAACTTATTTCAGTGGATATCATAATGTTAATTTCCGTGGCCTCTTTTATTAAAGAGGACGACAGACAAACATGGGTTCGCTTGATGGTAGGTAAAATACTCTAGCCTAAACATGTCGCGCTGTCGAACTATTTTAGCTTTGAATATTGATGCATACATCTCGTACAATGTGGTTTTTCTTTACCTTACTGAATCCTTTCAATTCTTATAAGGTAGGAAAATACGCGAAGGTTTTTGTCCGCTAAATTGTCCATAGCATAAAAATAAACAATGTGCTTCTAAGAACAAGCCTTCCTTCTATGATGTAAGTAACAAAATCGAAAACAAAACCACAAACTATTTTTTGGCAAATATTATAGCACTTTCTCTAGAAACCAGCGCGTGCGTCATTTTAAACCTTTCGTACTCATCGATCTGTGTATAGTACATTACTGCTTATGCAAGAGATTGAATGTCTTAGTAGAAAGGTACTTAGCAATGTATGCAACTTTATTTTAGTACTCATATAGGGTGGAAGTATGTCAAATAATAATATATTGTTGTCAACAGCTGCATACAAACAACAGTAAATAGGAGAAAGAAAGTGAAGGTTTTATAAATGTTGTTTTTGTTATTCATTAACATACAACTCACAGTTCAATGGGCGTAAAGAAAGAATCGTTTTTTGCTCAGTTCTTTCTTTCTTATGGTAATATGCTATTTCTTCAACCTAGTTCCATCATAGTGGATAGTGAAATTAATAAGTTTGCTTGGCAAAAAAAAAAAAAAAATTATTTAACCAATCAAATTCATGTCATGACAGGTGGGAGTCCAATTCGACACTGAACCTAAAAACTTAAAAAGTTAGATTTGCCATATTTGATATCGTATTACGACCAAATTTGATAACTAAAATAAATGTGTGAATCTAAAAAAGATATGCTGTCGCCAATTTTTTTTAGTTTATTTAAAGAAGAATACATTTTTTTGATAATATTAATTTCCCCGTTATTTTAATAGCAATAGGGTAGAAGAAATAGTGGAAGTTTGTAGCCTGATGTGTTCAGCCTAAAGCATTCCTCGATAAACGTTATAACGAAAGAATTAAAACCCCACCTAACCTAAGGAGATTAGTGCATTTAAACAAACAGATACTTCTTTATGTACTATAGTTTAAAAAATGTAACACCGGCTCGAACCCGTATCCCATCCTTGTCTTCTCTTTCACCTCGTTGTCATCAGGAGATTGTTTCACATCATATACAAGTGTGATGTTTTATAGCCTAAAGCCTTCCTCGATAATTTTTTTAACCAACACAAAAATATTCTATTAATTCAAACCAATTCCTGAGATTGGCGCGTTCAAACAAACGGACAAACGAACAGTTCAACCATATATATATAGATTTTTTCATTATATAACATGAAATTATAATGATTACATTTGACTGAAATTTAGAGTGAAAAATATGTAATCTTTGAATACCAAGTCCCACAGGGCACAATCCTTTTGCACTTAGGTGGCATTGACATTATAAAGCCTGGACCGGTTTATGCAAGCTAATTTCGTACCGAAATAAACATATACTGTAATAAGGATGGATAACATAAAAGGTGGGATCTGGTCTCTTGCGGCGCCGTACCAGCACCTAACAATGAGAAGCCGTTATTAGGGTTTAATTGGTAAAGGGAAAAACGCCATTTTCTAAATAATGGAATATTTATATGAATACTGTCTGTAGTTTACGAGAGTATTACACATTTAAATGGAACACTTTAACGGTTTAAAACGCGATATATTTTAGTTAAACTTGTTTGAAAATTGTTTTTAACTACGTTTCGGATGTTTTGCAGCAGCCGTGGTCACGGGGAGACTAAAGATGGAGGATGTCTCTGACGTCAAAGTAAAAAATTCGCTACCGTTAGCGCCATCTGTTCCGTCGAAGTAGGTATTTGGCCAAACTGGCCGGATTCTTGCAGAATTGACACACGACGAAAACGAAACTCAAAACGAAACAAAATTTGTTTTTCTGAAAAAATATAAAGTTGTATTTTAAGATGTTCTTAGAATTTACAGTAAATAATATTTACGCATCGCAGGCAACAGCGAGGTTAGGTCCCGCCTTTTTTGCAAGTTAATTTGAAAAGATAGACATACCTACTGTCGGCGTATTTTTTTGAAATCAATTTAAGAAAAATCTTTTGTTTCTTTAACCGTTTTCTTACCTTACCTTAGAAGCCCTCGAAAAAGTATAATATTCCCCATATGTTCCACATTTCTTTCTGATTCTTCGCCTATTGGTCGCATCCTGATGTTTTATAACCTTAAGCCTTTTTTTTTACTTGGAGGAATCGACTCTTTATCGACGTTCCCACCTGACTTACTCGAGTGGCGGGGGGAGTGTGGGGGTCGGCCAGCTTGACCACTAGCCACTAAACCTCCAAGAGCCCACGGGAGACTTCCTCGACTACAACCAACATGAAAATAATATTTCGATTCGAATTAGTAGTTCCTGAGATTAGCGCGTTCAAACAAACAAACTCCTCAACTTTATAATATTCTATAAATGGGTAAAATGAGAACTTGTTCTACTATACGGAACCCACAACGCTAAATACGATACAAAACTTGCGTGGGTGTATCGGTCGATCATTGTCGCCGTGGTTCATTAAACTCGGAGAGATTCGGTCCTCATTACTAGCTTTGCATTCAGGTTTCACTGTGATTAACGTTCTATGTAACGTTATAACGCGTTATAGGTGGTATTGTTCTCGTTTTAATAGACTGTACTACTTCCCAAGATGTACCGTAGCGAAAACTAGTTTTAACCGGTTAGAAGAACATGTTTTTATGTTTCTTTTTAAATAATCCAGTTAAGATGGGCAAGGAAAGTCCTTGCTTATTTGTGCTGTGTTAATCAAACATTTACATAACTATACTAATATTTAGCAGGAGAGTTTGTTTGAACGCGATTATCTTAGGAACGACTGTTACGAAAAATTGTGTTATTCTGTTGGATAGATCATTTATAAAGGACGCCATTAGCCTAGAAATTAGGCTGCAACCCTTAACAGCGATGAAACATAGGAAAATGTGGAAAAACGGAGAAAATTATTCATCTTCCAAGGCTTCCGTTGATGCGAAAACCATTCAAGAAACCAAAAAATATTTATGAAAGAAGAATCACTTCTTTAAATGATAAAAAATAATGTACCCGACAGTACACAGACAAATTAACTATATTAGACCACTTCGTCCGCATCCCGTCGTTGTTCCGAGTTCGAACTTTGGTCGGATGAGCAACAGCACGAAACGCTGTGGCTACATATTCAAGTCCTGCCCGCGTCGTAAATATTTTCAATCTAAAAATGATCATGGGCCATGGTGCATGGAACAAAGTTTTCAAACCAAGTATAAAAAATATAAAATTTTTACATTTCTGGTTTATTATTGTAATAATAAAGCTTTGTTCCATTTATATGGACAACAGTATCAAAAAGGTATTATTATTGAGAGTAAAGGATATCTGTTCGTGCGAAGTTTAAAGCACTGCGTAAAAGTCTTTCTCCGCAATCGAGGCTGCGTGTGCGCATACCACAGTGCGCGATGACGGGCTGAGGTGGGCGCACGGTCGCTTCGTCGTATTGCAAAGTTTAAAAGTGTTGTGAAGTTAAAAATGGCTCACAGGATAGTAATTTTATTAGGTATGTAATGAGATATGCCGACAAGTATATTCTTTAGTTATTGTTGATTCTCTCTTGTTTATAAAACTTCATGAAAATTGGGTAATTGTCACTTTATTTTTTTGTCTATAAGTCAAACTAATTTACGTCACGAAATATAACTAAACGAAAAATTGTTTATGAATATAAAACTTATATTCTCAAATTAATACAATTTGCTTACTTATTTTTTTTTTCCGAAGAGTTTATTTCCTTCTCAACAGAAAGAAATTAAAAAGTGGTTAGTAAAACTAAATAATTATTTAAACAATTAACAGTAGGTAATATCACGTCTAAATCTGATTAAAGGCTTTTCCATTTCACGCATAACTTTATAGTTATTGTCTATACAATAATTAAATTTAAATTTATAACAGGATGTATTGTATAAATATAATCGAGGAATATCTGTTATATTAGATAAATAATCGTTCAATGATTAGTAGAAATATTAATTATTTGGTCGTGAAATCCGTGAAATCTGCATTCACTTGTACCCGCCACGCGGGTTTGGCTGACTAATCATGTGCTTTCTTACCCATTGGGACTTGATATAGAAAACACGATTTGAATAATTATTTCATTACAAATATATAACATATCTAAGTAATTATTTTTAATTATTACATCATAAATCTTTTAAAATTTTACATATTACGGTTACACACGATAGCTTTCTTATATTCTTTTTCACGAATGGACAATGCGTATACATGAGATTGAGATGCGTAGATTACGTTGTAAAAACAAGAATCAAACTCCCGATCTTACATGACTGTTATATACGTATCTCAGCAAATTATTTCTGGAATATTTGTATTACTTACTAGCCATGCGTTAAAGACGGAAGGTTCGAATGCCGGGTAAACAAAAATTCTTAAAGGCACAGATGTCCAAAATGTCGGGCCATAGTCAAGATGAATTTTGTGTTTTAATCCGTTAATAAAAAATGTAAAGAAAAACCAACTTCCCCTGGTCATGGGTCGAACGTAAATATATATCTTATTCGAATATATTCCAAGTCACGGAACTACAAATAAATATCAATATTGTATGCAATATACTTCTTTAGGGCATTCGAGATATTTCGCGTCACCTTTTAATTTTCCATTCGAATAAGTCTCAGATACGATTTCCACTTTATGAAATATCTCGTACCTACATCCAGCTTCGATGTTATTGCGAAACGCTCTTATTCATTCTTATCGTCGAGTTTTCGTCTTCTCCCACCGAAATAAGCAGATAATAAACTCCTAAAATCATGTAGGCACTGATATATTTCACTTAATACTACTTGAATTAAAAATATTTTTGTCAATAGTGTTGTATGGGCTATTTTGTTATGATGCGGTAGGACCACACCACAGATTGATACCAAAACGCAGTCTTTCGGCAGTTTAACATGTTGTGTATTGATCAGAAATCTGTTAGACCCGGTGGCGATCAAACTCACGATACATTTATTAGTCTTACATTATAAATGTATTATTATTTTAAAATTACACTGTTAAGCGCGCTAGGTCCTAGATTCAAATCCCGCTGATTTACCTATTTGTTTGTAGGTTAGAATGAAGTTGACAAGTAAATGCGTCTGCTCTATGCCCCACGCTAAATTATCTAGCTTTTTGACTTCTTGAAAACTCGGCGATAAAAGGAGTGGCGCTCAGTTTGTTGCTAATTCTTCTCGTTCGTTGTACGCCCTTAAATTGGGAACTGATAGTAAATGTAAGTTTACAGATTTAAATTTTTAACTGTAGTTGTATGTAAATTCGTACATAAGTAAACGATTTTTTGAAATTGAATACAAAGTATAAACTTAATTTAAAAAATACAAGACTGATTTAATGCATAGCTTATTGCTTCGTGTTCACACATGCAACTAAGACGCTATTTGTTCACTGAAGCAGAACACTTTATAATTATACGATTTATGTAAGATTTATGTGAAGTCTAGATGCGCTAGCGCAAATAGCAACCGCCTTTGTAACCAATTGGTAAAACATGTTTCCTAGGATTGCGTTAAGCGTGAGAGGTCCTGAACTCGAATCTCGGAGAATTGTTCCGTATAGTAATTAAAATCTTTTTAACAGTTTTAAATATTAATGAATACTTGCCGTGATGAAAGCAAACGTGGTCACGTCGGGATGACTTCTGTATAACATCGTGCGTACTAAACAATTAACTAAATAGTATGATTCTTATTTTAAACCGTTATTATTAACTTATAGATGTAACTATTGTCCTTATCGTTACATACAAATATCTACTTGTGGCCTAATGTTATAATTCGGATATTTGCAGCAGCCGGCGACAGCTAGTTAACCAACATGTTTCGTGTTTTAAACAGTTAAAAATGTTTTATTTTAAATTCTAAAATGTATTTTAAAAAACTGAAATATATATAACATATCCAACATATTAATAATCTAAATATTAAATGGGTGGTAGGAAAATAAAAAATACGTACGGGTCACGTACCCCCGTTTACAGATGGAATGGATGGCTATGAAGTCTATATTTGCGCATTGTTTTCAGGCTTTAGATATTCAAAATAGAAAGACTAAAAAATGACTTCAATATTATATGGTTTAAGTGAATTTATACTTCTCTGTCCTCCTTTGTCGTAAATTAAAAAATAATAATAGATTTTAATTAAAAAAATAGTAAAACTAATACTTACAGCATGCGTCCAACGATGCTCCGTTGCCCGTGACCACAGATTATACTGATAAGAAACAATTGTAACGTACACGTGCCGTCAACCACTTCCTCGCTTATGAAATTTTACGTAACAACTAAGAAATCGCAAGGTAATGAGAAAAAGCAATTTGAACACAACGGGTCAAAATACTAAAATTACAATCCAGAATAGACAAGGATCAATCCGTAATTCAGAATGTATTATTGTTTAGTAGAAGAGGACAGATAATCATCTAGCGCATTTAATGGAAGGATAACCTTAGCCATAATAGAATAAAGCTGTAGTTTGTCTGTTTGTTTGCGCTAATCTCAGAATCCATTCGTTCGAATTGAAAAGTATTTTTTGCGTTGATTAGAGCATGTATCGAGAAAGGTTATAAACATCGCTGTGACTAATAGGAGCGAAGAAACAGTGGGAAATTAAAAAAGAACCGGGAACATTACCACCTCTGTGGGTGTATGCGTAAAAATTCAATCATAGAATAATTTATCTTTAAGTGATCAAAATAAAAATTTATCATTAAATGATTTCTCTTTAAATAATGTTAAAAAAATGTCTGCGACAGTATGTCTATCTTTTAAGATTAACTTCCAAGAACGCCGGGACACGATAAAGAGATTTGCAAAAACAAATGTGGGTGCCCAATAGTCCCTAACACAGCTAATTAAATCAAAAAAGCTAAATCCCTATTTGCAACTAATGTTCAAACCAAAGTGACAACAATCAACTGGTTCCATTAAACGAAGTAGCGCAAATGCTACAGATAATGAATGCCCCAGAAATAGCATTTTTTTAGAATTAGCCAGGAGAATAAATTCGTAATATCTGATCAAAGCATAACTGAGTGGGCTTCGCCCTTCGCTGCAGCTAATTTATATCGAAAAATTCCGACTATATTAAATTAAAATTATCGTGTATTCAGACTGCGATCAAAGAGCGGCTCTAATGATATCAATTGGTTCGGAATTGGTCCATGGAAGCCAGATAGAACATAGCATGGCGCAATAATATCGGGTATTCCTAATATCCTAATTCTAAGCAGTGGTACACCTACTAAAATGCTAATGAAAAAAAAGCTATATATTATGTTAAAGGGTGCAAGATATTCATTATACTTTTAAAATAGTGTTGTTTAGTATTTGATACCGACACTATTTATATTATAACTTATTTAAATAAAACACTAACAGTTTAAAACATGATATATATTACCTTATTTGGCCGTAGTTAAAATAATTTTAAAATAAGTTTAACGAATATATATCCCGTTCCAAACCGTTAAAGTGTTTTATTTAAATGTGTACTACTCGCGTAAACTACAGACAGTATTTAGTATAACTACGTTACCTATATGTATATATAATAATAATAATTAGTAGATAAAGCACAGCCAAATCTTTAAATCTGACAACGTGCGGCACGTTATTACGTTTTTTTCTAAATTCTAACCGAAAATCACTTCCTTGTCGTTTTGCTAGGTAAGACGTTTAACCACAGAGGAGATAATTAGTAACGATAGGCGTATCTCATACCCGAATAACTTGTGCCATGCAAAATCCGGCCGCTGTGAAGCGACCTAAATTATAGGAAGCCAGGGAAACACGATAAATGTCACCACAAATTAAGGAATCACTCCACGCAAATAATGTGGCCCTTGGATTTTTAAGTCGCGAAGACTTCGTGACTTCTTAATGGAGTAGCGTTTTAATCGCTCTCCAGCTTAGTCCTGGCCATTAAGGAGAATTAGAGAATGTTTCTCTAAATCTTGACAACCAACGCTTTTGAAACGTTAAATAATATTGTTTATGTCCTTTTATTTTATGACGGAGGATAGATAAGTATAGGGCTCACTTAATGGGAAGTAAAATACCCCAGTAATATAACATCCCTACAACAACGCTGTCGACCTATTTTAGCTTTGGATATTCGGAAATCCACTGACTCAAACCGAAACGCGATTAAATTTCATAGCGTTTTCATCTGTGGATGGTTGTTTGTGAAACGCCAATATTTACATCCCGCTTTTTAACCAGATTTCCAGACGAAGTCCAACAGAAAAATTATAAATTTATTCGTAACATGTTGGGATGTTAACGTGTGGCCGAAAGCACGGCCCGTGCCGGTCGAAGCCACCAATAGACGAACGGACTATGTTATTTTACTAACCGTGAATATCAGCTGTGAAGTAATCTAAACGTCGCGTTTTAGTTAAGAATAAATTACGTATAATTTTCGTATTTAAACCTCTAAATATTGTGTTTCATCTTGTTTTATTATTCATTATTTAATAGTAATGTAAATTAGTGGTGTAATACCTATACATATTTGATTTTCTTTTGTTTCAGGATTTTTTACACTGTGCTGGCGCGTTGGCTGTGGAGAAAGTAACAAATACAATGAGTGAGTTAAAGAAATAACAAATTATTTAACTACAAGACCACATCAGACAAAGACGTCGCATATACCTTAGTACACAAAAGTTTAATTAAAAAAGTTGAAATTTAAATTTTCCCTTTCATGAGTTTATAATATATAGCATAATATCTCTATATCAATCTCAAAGAAATTGTTTAATTTTATTCTAATTAAATAACTGCCTCCGTGGTATAGTGGTTACATTTTCATAAGCGCCAGGAAGTGGGTTTGAATACCAGGAAATTAAATTTGTTATGATTGGGTAATACTTAGAATACTGATCACTTAAATCATTATTTGTAAAAGCGGGCACAGAAATATGTCTCTTTTTGCAGATACACATTAATACGACTACAGCCCTCATCAGATTTACACATTGAAGCCATCCAGAACATAGAAAAACGTTTTCCAGATTTAGAAGTTCTGAAAAGGAGTAGAAGTTACAATGATACTACAGATATACTGGTACCTAAAAATCAACTAAGTCCCCTGCGAGACTTAGTCAAAAAGGAAGAGATTTTTTATGACGTGAAAGAAAACTATGGCCGGTAAGCGTGACATCGCTATGTTAATAGAAATGAGTTTTAACGGAAAAATAAAGTCAGAATTAAATTATAATGTATAATATTGTCGGCTCTAATGGACGGATATTTGAACTATTTCAATGTTAATACAATACTTTTTTAAATACTGAAATATTTAAAAAAAACAACGGTTTAAAACGCGACATATATTTTTGTTACGACTGCGTTCGAGACGTCGCGTCGTAGGTAATTAAAAATTAAATATATTTGGCGGTTTAAACAATTAAAAGTGTGAACATGCTTTTTTTTAATGTTTAATACTCTTGAATGCTTAGTAATAGTTTTACGACTAACTATTTAAGTGTACCCATGTGGTGTGTGATATATTTAACACTTTACAATTTCTTGAAAACACGGAAGATAAATAGAGCAGCGGCGTTAAAAAACTGTATTATACTTTTTTAATAGTAGTATTTATTTGTATATTTTAGATCGTTCGAGGCAATAAATAGGACACCCAGAAGACGAGTGTTTCGAAGTTTTAATATTTTTGAATATCACTCGTATATAGCGGTGAGTGTTCAATTATTTTTACGTGTCCTAAGTCCAAATGTTTACTCCCCTCTGTAGCTAAATGGTTAAACGTGTTACTTAGCATTGCGTTAAGCGCGAGAGTTCCTGGGCTCTAATCCCTGGGAAGCGATTGTTTTAGTCGAGCAGGGCACTGAAGTCTAAATTACTTGCCTGTTAATAAACCCGATATGGACAAAGAAATGTAATTTCATTCTCTTTTTTTCTAAGTATGGATTTTACATACATTTAAAGTTACTAATACCCTGACGATAAATCTCTTTATTGAGTGCACAAAAAGGCAAACATTTTAGTCTAGAATTTTTAAATTCAATAAACAGTTCCCACCTTATCTACAACGATATGCAGATCCAACTAACATTTCGTCATACTAAGCAAAAATAATTACTACAAGTTCAGTACAAGACGCACACGACATTCACTATAGTTAAGAACAGTATGATTTTAAATATATAAATTATAGTCTTATACAAAATTCTACATATTGTAATTATTTTATTTTATAGGTCTAATTTGATTTCGGCTATACTATAATAGTAATCAATAATATAAGAATAACCTAGCTATCCCCAAATATAGGCTCCATAAAATATTTAATTCATTTGCATATAATACATTGCCAGTTGAGGTTCCAAATTTATCGATAAATAAACTTTAAAAAGTTGTAAAATTTAGATTGTCTCAAAAGGCGTATTATTGTCTGAACGATTTCTTTAACGACAATACCTGGCCTAACCTGGCCTGGCACTAACATGAATTGCTCCTTAGGTAGGAAATTCACAACAATGTATTAGTTTATAAGACATGTTAAAAAAAGCCGGACTGAGTTTTTTGGTTGTTCTTCTCAGTTTTGTTTCTGTTTTAAACATTCTGTAGAAACACGACAAACAGACAGACAAACAAAAAAAAATTGACGAATCTAAATAATTGTTAAAATTTTAAAGAGAATAAAGTATATTTTATTTTACAAAAAATGCCTTTATTTTCTTTAAATGACTGATATACTGTACTGTACTTCTACTATTCTAGATACAAGAGCACTTAGAATCTCTAGCGAAGAGACATCCAGACCTCATGAAGCTTCAAACTCTCGGCATGAGTTATCAGGGCAGAAGAATGAAGTTAGCGAAAATCTCGTCGAATCCCAACGCTGGGAATCCAATCGTTTTCATCGATGCTGGTAATAATGCTGCCATATTTAATTCAAACACTTTAACGGTTTAAAACGCGATATATATTACCTTTATATGTATATATGTTACCTTTTAAGTGTTTTATTTAAATGTGTACTACTCGCATAAACTACAGACTTTAGGTCCACTAATTAGTGACTAAGCCATTTCGTTTTTATTAGACGATATAATATTCGTTTAGTAAAAAAAGGTATTGGCAGATAGATTCGTTATAATGTCACGTATATGTTGAGCAGGGTGTTAAAATTGCGAGTATATTCGGTAGGGCAAAATCCAGTAAACATAAGACAGAAATGTATATAGGAATAATGGTTTTAAAAATTCAAATCCAATTGTGTCGAATAGTAACACAATGTATAAAAGCGTAGAAAAACTACAATAATAGTTTTAGACTTTATTTTCATTTTGTTTTATGTTTAAACCTCACAAGTATTTAGACTAGCACATATAAGAAGGTAATGTTGTATAACGCAGAAGGGCAATCATGCAAGGACCTTCAACGTAAAAATTTCTTTTACAATCCAAACGTGGTTTATCGTTATAAACATTTACCTTACAAGCGCTTTAATCAAATTGTCCCCCGAGCATTACCCGAAGGAAATATGTCAGGAAAAATGATTGTTCATTTTAAGAATCAAATAACAGACATGAAAACAATTTCATAGAAAATTTTAAGGTGTCCCCAACTATGGACTACAGCCCTTAAAATTCACGGTCTACAATTCCTAGAATAAAGGAATTGTAATATATAATATGTATAAGTATATAGCTAAGATGAAGTAGGTGTTAATCGTACGTTGAAAATCGAGAACAGCGAGACCTATTTTCATTCATTATTTTGAACATTTGTAATATTCATTATTGTTATTGAAAAACTGTATTGAATCTACATTAATATATCATAACGCGATGCGCCTTTAAGGGCGAAGAAACAGAGAGAAATGTGAAAAAACCGAAAAAAAATATTCATCCTTGTAGTTTTAATTTGCGTACGCTACAAAAACGGTTGAAAATATGAAAAAAATATATATGAAAGAATAATTCCCACTTAAATGAACTAAAAAAATGTCCCCGAAAGTATAATTATCTTTTAAAATTAACTTGCAAAACGACGAGACGCGGTCAACGTCTTGGGTAATAGCTACAATTTATAAAGATGTGGAGGAAGTTCTCAAAAACAATTTTTTATGCTTAAAATAACTATTCTACGCGGACGAAGTCGTTCACACAGCTAATGGAAAAATAAAAAAATCATACAAACATTGTAAATGCTTATGATTTATTTTACCACGTCCCAATATTCATGGATTTCGAGAGCTTAAGAATTTTGTGAAGTCGTTAAAGTGAAGATATCCTGTCACAGGTATACATGCTCGCGAATGGGTGGCGCCAGCTATGGCCATGTACCTCATCCACAGGTTGGTCAGTGACCCCGATGCTCGTCGCGAGCTGAACGGAGTGGATTGGTACATACTACCTGTCGTCAACCCTGACGGATATGAGTTTACACGTACGAACCAAGTGGTAAGATTAAGAATATCCGGTCTTGTTTTGCAACTGTAGTGACAAATTAAGATTTAAAGTTAGTCAAGTTCTCTTTTTACTTTTTTCAAACATATATTTTCTCAAAAGCCAGTATTTTAAAAAATACTAGAAATAATTTGATATACTTAAATTAACAACTTTAGAAAAATTTATATTCTACAAGAATATCTCACAAAAAGTAAATTAGAATGTATCCCAGTTTCTAAAGGCGTCCATTGATAATAAAACGGTAATTATATCTTGGCAGAATCGTTTATGGAGAAAGACTCGATCTAAGAACGGGTTGCTAGACTGCTTCGGTGTCGATGGCAACCGAAACTACGGCTTCAAATGGGCAGTCAGTGGGGTATCTAAAAACCCCTGCGACAAAGAAACTTACGCCGGGCCCAAACCTTTCTCCGAGCCTGAAACGCAAATGGTGCGTAACGTCATGATGGAATATGGAAAAAGGATCAAATTATACGTCTCCTTGCACTCTTATGGACAATATCTGGTTTATCCTTGGGGATATACTGGCGATTTCTTGCCAAAAGAATGGCAAAAGCTGGATACATTGGCGAGGATGGTATCAGAAGCTGTGGAATCGGCTGGTGGGAAACCTTTCAGGGTAATGAGTGCTGGAAAGTGGTATCCAGCTGCTGGTGGTAGCGATGATTTTGCGTTCGGTGTAATCGGCGTCCCCTACTCCTACACCATGGAACTCACTGATGGTTACGAATTCCTGTTCCCAGAGAGACTTTTGCACACGGTTCTACCACAGTTCTACGAAGGTTTTAAAGTTTTCGGTGCCCAAATAAGAAGTGAATTCGCCCCATCTAGACATAAAAAAGACTTCCCAACTTCGGAGAGCCGTAAATTGTAATAAATTGTGAAAGCACATTATTGTTTTATTGTTAACGACCTTTATATATTTTACGACTATGGACATTGAGTAACATGTTAGTGAAAACTACTATGTATACATTTACTATGAAGGGTGTGATTTCAATATTTTTACTTTTAGGTGTAATTTATTTTCATTTTTTACAATTTTAAAGGTCTTTAATTTTAAAAAAAACATTGATTTTTATATTTTTCTTTAAGGATATTTTTTTATTGTACGATCGACATATTGTGGGTGAGTATACAGTGTTTCCAATTTTATTGTAATAATGTAATAATTATTTTCTAGAGCACAGGTCTCCTTTCGCATAGGAGAGGGTTAGCTTATTTTACGACTACCGCTACTAATCGAGTGGTAATAACCGGGGTTGACGGCTTTACGTGCTCTTGTAGTAGACACCTTCTTCTTTTCCAGACTGACATCTTCTACCAGCCCAGTAGAAGAAAGTTCCATAAAATGATATAAATACCGATACCAATAATTTTGCCCCATCCTCAATCGAACCACAGACCTCGTAATCTGATCGTCTACGTGACTAGACCAATAATGCAGTCAAATCATTAGTCTTTTGTTTTGTACTAGTTGTAAAACCTTACGTCCGTGCTATGAAGAAATGTTGGAAAAACTACTTGATGTTGAAGAAGACGCTTGCGTTGAAAATGTAGCTATAGGGGCTAGCACGGTAAGACATTTCTTATTCTACTGTCCCATTGGTAAAGGACGGCTAACTCTAAAACTAGGGTGTCTAAGAATGTATGTCAAAAAACCGCATCTCCTAACTAAGATGTAGCCTGGATCGTCTGTATACCCTTCTTCTTTCTGGTGTTTCAACAATGGCTTCTTCCTTTTGCTTTGATACTCAGTATATGTAGCCACGGTCCTAACAATCATTGTAATTATTTGTTTGAATAAGCAATCTATTTAATTATTTTGTTATGGAGTTAATTAATTCATAAATAATCAAATATTTCAGATAACAGTATTTTTGAAAGCCCTGAAACAGTTCTGTGGTGATGTAATCGAAGTGCACAGTAATTACACTACGCATGAAAATCGTGTGCTATATGAGGTAATGTTAACTTTGAAATAAAACACTTTTAATGGTTTTAGTCTTGAGACCTATGTGACCGTGGCTGTTGCAAAGCATCCGAGGTTACTTAGGCCTTCGTTAAAATAAATTGTACATAAGTTAACAAATGCATTGGTGTTTTAATTAAATATGATTAACAGATAATACTTTATGTGAATACTTAACAAAAACTTACACACCAAAATTGATATAACACTATTTAACGGTTCCAAACGCAAACTGTATAAGTTAATTTCTTAACAACGTTAACCGTGTTTTATTTAGTGAGTACCGAGCGTCCAAACTACAGCTTCGCTTGAGCTTGTACTTACACTGTAAATAACAAAATGCGTTGCATATACTACACATGTTTGAATGAATTTTGACAGGTAATTCTTAACAGTTCTAACGAAGTAGAAAGACAATCCAAGCCCAAAATAATGCTAGAAGCTGGACAGCAAGCTGGGTCACAGCCAGTTATGCTCGCTCTTTATGTAATAGAGCAGCTCGTGGCTTGTGAGGAGTATAGCGACATGATTGAGAAGGTGACTTGGGTTATCTTGCCTTGCACTAACCCTGATGGCCAGGAGTACATGCGATGTGTAAGTAGTTCTCATATCCTTAATATCTTCGCTCAAATTATGAAAGGGGATTCCTAGCTTAGTCAAATCATTTTACACATTTTAATAAAACACTTTAACGGTTTAAAACGCGATATGTGTTAGTCAAAATTATTTGAACTGTGGCCCAACGTATCGGCTGCTGCGCGTTGATAAATATTCCATCGTGTGTTAACTATTTAATATGCACTAGTGCAATAACGTACTTCACAAGTGTCTTAAAATTACTATAATTATTAATAATTACTGTCTCAGACTCTACATCAACGTTAATTACTAACATACTTCTATTATTATTTCAAAATAAAAATGTATCCGAGAAACATACAAAGTACGTCTCTTTAAATAAAACACTTTTAACGGTTGGAAAGGCAATAATTATAAGTAAAAGTTATATTTTATTTAATTTGAACCTTACGCTGGATAATTTTCAGCAACCGTCGTAATGGGGCACCTTACGTTTTAAACCGTTAAGTGTTTTATTTAAATGTGTTCTACTCGCGTAAACAGACAATACTACTTTGATAACATCTATGTTTTCGAAATTTCTAGAAAATTCTTCTTCTCATGATGTACAATGTCATATTCCAGAATCGAGAGCCCTGGTATAAAAACTTGAAACCGCTGGAGGAGAACCAAAGTTTCGGTGTCGATATTTCTCGAAACTTCGACGATTCCTGGAATGCATGTTCATTACCAGACAACATATTCTCCCACGACTATCGCGGACCCACGGCGGCCTCCGAAAACGAGACACAGTTCATAAGCGACGCTATCGAAAAACACAAACAGGACCTCAAAGCGTATGTATCTTTGAGACGCGACGGTCACGCTATACTGTACCCATTCGCCAGCAAAAGTATAACCACAGAAGCCTTAGAAAGAGCAACAAGTGTAGCTGGTGAAATAGCGGCGAAAGTAAATCAGAGATCGGGGGGTATCCAAAGCTTTCTGAACACAAGCATACACGATATGAACGGAGACGCCCGCTGCGGTCACAGCGTTGATTATGCGTACAACAAACACGGGATACCATTTACGTACGAGATGCGTGTCTTCCCAGAAACAACTAATCGCATCATGTCCAAGTTCCAAACGCTGCCCAAGGGCTACGAAGGCGTCTTACGTAACGGCTATTTCAGCGGCATTCGAGAGCTTTTCAATATTATCGCTAGCGACAAAACGTAATACATTCCTCGTTACGTACATAACTTGTGTGGCTTGTGATCGAGAAAGGTACTAACGATGTGAAAATGAGTGATTGTTATATAATGCAATTTATTATATAGGTATATCTATGGTAGGAGTCACTTATCCAGTTTTGGGTAGGATGTCGGTCATGCGCGGTGGTGGAGGCCGATAGCGCTTGCGTTAGGGGTGGGGCCCGTAGCTGTTCAGCCCGCTGCCATTCCACAGTGAGCCGCGGCGCCGGCAGCCCGGGTTCTCTGAAACCCGACCAGCACCCCCATCCGCGAACTCTGCCGCACGCGCTAAAACAATTATCTATCTGTTCGTTCCTTTATTACGATATTTTTTCCACGTCAGTTATTTTCTGTGGGTTCAGAGTATTCTTTCATTTGTTTCGACTCCGAAGATTGACTTTTCGATTGTTTTGCTGTTTATAATTTTTTTGTGTCGCACGAACGTGGCAGACGAGATGAAGACCGGTGAGGTAAGAATTAGTGTAAGAATTTTCAGCGCGGTTGGTCTGGAGAAAGCGAAGGTAAGTTGGAGCAATGGGCGGAAGGCGGTGCCGACGGCAACAGGTTGCAAGGCTTTACGGGCGTCGGGAAACGGTTGCCGCCTGCTACAGCTCCACAATTTTATTAACAGATAATAAAGACCGGCTTTCGTGCTAATTACTCGGGAGACTTATTGTGTTAAATTTCTCATCGCATTTGCCGAAAATCCCAACTGAAAACGTTCGTTTATAAGGCGTAAAATTGAAAATTTAAACTTTTCCACTTTGTCTCTGTCAATGCTGTTTCTTAAAGTTATGTTAAATTAAATTACGATGCTTTATCTTGACGAAAAAGACGATTAGATTTTAAATATCCTCAGTTTGTAAAACAGATATTTTTTTAAAGATTTTTGAAAGAATAACGTATTTAAACGTAAACATTTCATTCAATTCGAATTTTCGAAATTTTTCGACTTCACTCAAATATTTAAAACTACTCCCAAAATGGAACAAATCCATATTTTTGCGGTACAACTAAACAAAATGAATTAAAAGTATTTGTTCAAACACGCTCAAATGAAACTTGAATGTTAATTCTTCGCTATTCGTTGATGAATTTAGAACTCTTTTTAGGTCTGCCATTTTACTTATAAAATATATTCTCATAAAATAATATGTATGAAATATGAGAGTGGTTAATATAAAACAGCTGATAAAATTATTGATCGTTACAGTAACGATGTTCACATGTAGCTTGATAATAATCAGAGGGACGCTTTCATGAAGTTTTGAGTGTTGATAAGCGTATTGATCGTTACTTTTACTACACTGTAAAGCAAATATATGCCACATATAACTGGCTGATTTTAGATGTTTTTACTAATATTAAAATTGTGTAAACAGTAAAGTTTCATTCTACGAATAATGTAACCAAGCAATTTTTAATTTTCATTTGTTTTCTGTGGTTTACTAAACTAAACGCAAATAAAATACTCAATTGCTTAAAACGTGAAATATTTTAGTTAACTAATTTACAATACCGTATTGTGGTTCAAATTAATTGTAAATGAGATAACTAATATATTTGGCGTTTCATACCGTTAAATGTTTTACTATTACGAGTAGCACTGTCGTAAACTACAGAAAATATTGTGATGAATAAAAATTATGGACAGCTTAGTCACATTATTTTCAGGATTACATTTTCTCAACTCCTAAATAACAAAATTAGTGTAACAATAAAAAATAAAAGATATGAACGATATTAAAGATATTTAACATAACAATAGAAAGTGTAAATGATAAAAAATTATCTATAAAAAAATTTCGTTATTTTTTTATTTATTAAACAATTTATTTTTCAACCTTATTTATTATTTTAATAATAGTAACTTAATGTGCGTTAATATTAAGGACTTAACGTTTTGAATGATGCGGTTTATCGTTATGTATCGCGTTACGGGTCTACTTCGTCAATATCCTGTAGTGCACACGTATTAAAAAAAAAATGAATACATACAAGCTAATTTAGAATAGCCTGTTTAAAAATGCACGCGAGTGTACAACTCAGTTAGGTGTATTAGAGAGTCAGTCCTCGTTCTGCAGATAAGACAATGCGGGTGCTTATTCTAGCACATTGTCCCACATGATTGTGAAACTATACATCGCAGTCTGTATAAATGTTCACTTCGTTTATAGTTTTAATTATCCGTACTTACAGCTGCAGCATAAAACAAAATACATGTATCTAAAAAAAAAAATAATTCAACTAAATTTAATTTCGCGCTGGTTTTGTGCCGATTGGGTTTAAAGTCAAAGATCATTATCGAATTTTCTCAAACCATTTCTTTGCATACCATTCGAGCGTTGTAAGTCCAAATTTTAATTTTTTTTAAGAGTCTTGTGAAAAGTTATGCATTAAACGTGTAAACCGAATAACTAATTGTAGAAAAACAAAGTTGGACTATTTTGTCGAAAAATCCATAACAGTTAAAGAAAATAAACCACTCCCAAGTTTTAAATCTTTAATGGAAAAGTCCACGTATTTATTTTCGATCATATATTTTGTCTGGTTATTCTAAATAATAAAGTTCATCAAATATATTATCTAACTTAATCCTCATCCGAAACGTCGGGTCGTAGTCAATAAAAAAACGTATATAATTCGCGATACAAACTGTAAAAAGTTTTTATTCAAGAAAATAAATGTTGCATACGTAAGTCGTAGATAGATTTAAATACTGATCAATTATAAGTGGACGAAAAATCTGTCAAATCAGTCCTTTTATTCTATGTAACAATACTTTACACAAATAATATAATCTGTATGATTATGAAAGCATTTACCACAGACTTTAAAATGAAATGCAGTGCTAAAAACGTAAACGGAGTTTGCTCCTGCAGGGAACATTAGTTTTGTCATATGGCGTTCATATCGGTAACCCAGGGCGGTAATTATGAAGACAGTTCAAAAGCCAGACAAACAGTACACAAAGTTCGCTTAAAACGAACTCCGGAGCGGATATTGAATTTCTAACTTCAGGTTCCGTTACGGATTCCACGCGTCCAATTTATCAAGCGCGTCCGCACAAGAGCCCCCAGTATTAAAATTTGAAGCGCTCAAACTTGCCTCCTTTTAGTGTTCATTACGTTGCAAAGTTGGTGAAAATTCATACAAGTTTAAGTTCTAATGAACACCAGGCGCTGAAGTTGGTCGGGTGTTACCATTGCTCATATCCCACTTTTTACGTGAAACGCCGCAAAACAACCGGGCTTTGTTTCGCGAGATTCAAGTAAGTGCTTATATTGATTTTATGGTATTAAAACTTCTTTGAACCCTAATGCGGCAGAGGGAATTCAAATCAAGTATATGCCATCGAATAGCGACTATCCAAAGCCAAAAAAAAAGCAGACAACACATTCTTTCCTGATGTTATAAAATTACGTGAATAACGGAATTCATAAAGAAATACGAAAAATAGTTCGAAATATATGCAGTTATAATGCTTTTTAATTAAAATATTTAACGGTTTCAAACGCAAAATATATTACTTAAGTTAATTTTACTTTTATTTGATTATGGATTGATGTTTTAGTTGCATTGCAACCGCCAGTTACAAGGTATTGATACACAATAATTTTAATTATAACTTCGATTCCAAACTTTATAATTATTATAACGTTACGAGCCTATAATAATCCCGCCTAAGATATCTAAAATGCTCAACTTAGACATAATAAAACATTTTTCAGCCGCAAGAAGGCGGAACAATAAATTTGTAACAAATCCTTGGGACACAAGACAATAAGGAACGAGAGATTTTGCGGTAGACATTAGCCCTGTTGTTATTCTAAGTGGATTAGGGACAACGCATTTCAGATCTGGTTAAGCTTTTACATTAAGGCTGAAAGCGAATGCACTTCGCTTCCCAGAAATTCATTTTAATCTTGTTCTGTTTTAAAGAAATTAAAACCTCTCGAAGTGTATTCGTGAATTCGGTGGTTATTCAATAAAATGCACAAAAACATTGTTTATACAGTTTTTACAAGAATATTGTAGATCTTATTTTTAATTATAAGTAAATATGATGTATTATATATAAGAAAATATTTACTCTTTTACAAAATGTTTAAGACACATATTGCCGTTGAAAACTGTGAAGGCGTACAAATTTGTGTGCCTCTGATTGGTAGTATAATTACATAATAAATTAAGCATAGTATTTTAAACAAAGTACTTTTAACGGTTTAAAACGTGACAAATCTTTTTTTTTACTACGACCCCACGCTTTTAATGGTTTGCAGCAGATACATTTGCAGTTACAGTCTACCCCCATGACCATGGCTACGTTCAGCCGTAAGATGGCTACTCTACAAAACGATGTAAAATAAGTTTCATTAATAGATTTCGCGTTTTAAACTGTACCGACTACAAACACTACTAATCTTAATCTATGTAGAATGTAGTAATAGATCAAGAAGAGTTTAGTCTTTTTAAAACTTCAATATTTTTTACACGTGATGACATTATTAAAATGATTGATTCTTATTTCGATTCGCAACTCGATTAAGCAAAGCCCTCGATTCCAGTCGATAATTTCGCCAAGACCGTCGGGAACTCCCCGCAATATGTTCGCAAACTCATTAGATAAATGAAAGAGTTCACAAAACACGATCATCGCTAGACCACCGTCTCGATGATTGATCGAACCGGGGTGCTCTCCACCTCTACCCCACTTTCGAGTGGAATGAAGTAGGGTAAGAATATTGGAAGTCGTGTCGAATTACCCATTTATTCACTTGTGTTGAGTGTTTATTTGAATTGTGACGTGATACGTGGATGAGAGCAATAAATTAGTCACTTCGTATCGCATTTCACTCAATTAGAAAATGCCCAAAAAGTTTTACTAATATATATCGCGTTTTAGACCGTTAAAGTGTTTTATTTAAACTCCCTAATATCAATTTAAAACAGTTCAATCAAGGTGTTTGAAAAATGTATATATAC